TTCAGAAAAGGGGAGTAGCAACTGGAGTGGAGGGCTGGGGGCTGGGGAGTACTTCTAGAGATTTGACTTGCGTAGTAGCCGGCAAATTGAGAAGTTTTCTGTCTATGCTTTAGTCGTCAAGGTGTTACTTAGAAAATGTCAACATCGTGGACATTTGAAAGTCCGTCTAACACAACTGATAGTTAAACTCATCAGCATCGTTCAATATTCGAATTGATATATTCAAATTGTAATCTAAAAAGAATCCAGCTACTTCGATGTTTCAGTTATACAGGCAAACACCATTTGTCATTTCGTTAAAATCAGAAATGACCGTGGAATCTAAGCAATATGTTCAATTAGTATTGTGCAAGCAACTGTGGTATAGACTTTAATTGCAATCACCAAGTTTTTGGAGCTTTGGAGTTAGCCTTTGCTTTAAAATCGCACCAGAATCAATCGCAAAAGACATATCATGACAGACATTGTTTCATCTGTTTCATATCGAGAACAGTGAGCAGTAGAGAGGCTTTTCTGTGGCCTTTGATACAACAGCCAATGATCATGAGCTCGAGTGCGATACAAGTTTGCTCTAAAAAACCTTCACTTGTTGACAATTCATTTTTCTGGTCATCACACGGCGCTGCAATGTTCAAGATGTAGACCTAATATGTTGATTCAATTTGTTTCTATGATATAAGCTAATAGAATGTTTCACTGACAGAGCAGCTAATGCAACAGGCTGCCTTTAGACAAGTGATTAAACCCAATTCTTTCAAGGCATATTTTTATTGACTAGTCGTGTAGCGTCTTTTATGCCCTCGTAATGTCCATATTCATATAATGGTTTGCATACTAAAATACATGTTAAGATAGGAATATGCTGCAAAAGAGTGGATTAATTTGAAAGAATTGTCCTTTCAGACGAGGCTACGATTGCCCATGCATGTACTTTTCTTATCAGAAACATATCAATATAGAGTACCCATGATTACAGCGCAAAATATATAATGGGATGTATATTTTTCTCTTTGCTCCGTCTGCGGCTGCGATCAGTTTCCGGATATAAAGCAGTTGCCCTTCTTGATTTTGCTGATTATGTCCAATGATCCGTTCCTTTTACGGCAGTGTCAAAGACTCTTATCAAAATTTCTTTGACTTCCACGAAATTATACGCGGAAAATTGACAGCGTTTATGGGATGCCATTTACTACTAGTCACATTGCTGGTTACTATCACCTTGCATGCAAGCGCGATAGCCTCTCCCAAGCCAAATCTGGCGACTTCTAGCGTCCAGTCAGAGCATGGGTGAAAGAGTCAAGGAGAGGTTTCTAAAAGCCGAGGTAGGTATTACTGAACCAATCGACAGAGAAGAAAGGGTGACGATCAGTGATCATGTGAATGAGGCTGAAGTATTGGAAAAGCTACCAGAGATGCTAAACAAAGCAGGAATTTCAATCAATGCAGAAGAACCACTAGCAGGCGCAAAAATCAAAACTATTTGGAAGAGGCGGTGAATCTCTTAACGGTAAAGAGACCCTCAAAACTCGAAGAGAGCCGCCAACTACAGTACACGTCAAGTTCACGGAAGGGGCCTCAAACACAGCAAATGTCATGCCTACAGGATACACCTCTGTGGCGGCATTTTTCAAACCCTCGAACATCTTTCAACGTTTGATGAAGAAGATAAAGAGCATTCTTGCCAGATTTTCTAGCTGGTTCAGTTGGAAAAAATCGAAGCCTGCTCCTCAAGACTCGACGGTTGTTATCAAGGACACTAGAATAACGCCAGCAGCTAAAACTTCTAATGGTATGAAGTCTACATCTAATGAGCCGAAATGGGCTACAGAGTCAACCACTGTTGAAGTGTCTCCCAAATATGAACCTAGCACAGATGCCAAACCAAAATGGAATGAACCGCCGAGAGATGATTCACCGCGGGTAACCAGCTTCACGTCTTCAATTTATTCGGCACCAGGCCACACTAATCCTTCAAGGTTAACCAGCTTCAAGTCTTCATTTGATTCGAAGCCAGATCAAGCAAAGCCAGCTTGGAAGGCTAATTACATGTTTCTGGACATAAGTAATGGAATAACGGAAAGAGAAACTGCAAATATGCCCCTCAGGGATGATAAATTACTCAATACACCCACAACGGACTCGTTCGCATCCCATAACAGAAAATTCCGTCCACTCCCGCACAAAAAACCATTTACTGGCACCACATCGGCAAACAATATTTTCGACATTCCCAGTGCTGAGCATTTGAGTAGAAATCATCTGTCCGCCGTTGAAACACATCCCACTAACAAGCCACCAAGATGGGATCCGAATCCATTTACTCACGATAATTCGCATCCATTTACTTACGAAAATTCGCACCATTTTACATACGATAATTGGCATCCATTTACTTACGGAAATTCGCACCCTTTTACACACGATAATTTACACAGCCAAACTTCGTCAAGCTTCGTGTTCAGCCCTATCTATAACGATCACCGTAATAGTGGTGTACGAATGTCTAGCGTTGCATGGCGTACCCCCAAGCAAGTATCTCAGGTGTTTAGGAGATTTCCTGCAACTGACAGTGGTATTGTGAACCCTCCTGTGTCCGCCAGCGTGCGCGACAGCCTGAGACGAAATGGAGATCCTCGAGTGATTCGTTCTGCTTACATTCCAGCTGCGCGCATTGAAGCACTAAGCCCTGAGAATGCTGAAGTGACTCGTTTGACTGGTCGCTCTGAACTAATTAAACCTGAAGTTCCGGTACCAAATCTTCCTGTTCGAGCTAAAACAACCAAAACTGACGTTGCTAAAGTCACTCCTTCAACTGTTCGCACTAGAAAAATCGAAATTAAAGATCCAGTACCCAATCTTGCTGCTGGCGGTAAGAGACCCAAAACTGAGGATGCTGAAGTGATTCCTGCAACTGTTCACGCTAAAAGAATTGAATCGATGATTCAGTACCTAGTCTTGCGGTTCGCGGTGAAAGACCCAGAACTAAGGATGCTGAACCGACTCCTTTGACTGGTCGCGTCGAAGAAACCAACCCTGAGGTTGCTGAAATGACTTCTTCAACTAATCGCGCTAAGAAACTTAAAATTGAGAATCCGGTACCCAATCCTCCTGCTCGCGTCAAAACAACCAAATCTGAGGGTGCTGAAGTGACTAGTTCGACTGGTCGCGTCGAAGAAACCAACCCTGAGGATGCTGAAATGACTTCTTCAACTAATCGCGCTAAGAAGCTTAAAAATGAGGATTCAGTACCCAATCCTCCTGTTCGCGTCAAAACAAAGGGTGCTGAAGCGACTCC